GATGTTCAACTTTCGTCAAATCCATGACACAGACTCAGGAAAAGAAATCTAATGCGCTACCACTTTGAACGGACTTGAGCCACTGAGCTGGTATAGTGGTGGGGCACTCACGAGACCTGTCGAGACATGTCACAGCAGGCACAGGCCTGTTGCTCATCCCTTTCATATTCAGGTAGTTAACTTATTGAGTGGCCCTCGTACCAGTACCCTGTATGATGTGCTCTAGGTGACGTCCACTCCTTCGTTTGCACATTCGCAAACTTGCCAGAACGTTATTCACGTTTCCAGCGTCACCTCTTATACTTTTAATTGTACTGCATGAAAGTTATTGCGAGTGTAGCTGGTAAAGACAAGCAGGCTTTCCATTTTTCCTCTCAACATTGAAAGTCTTCATTCAGAAATGACTTCTCGCAATTCTCTCTCTCGGGATTTACGAATACAAAAAGTGGATTCCGCTTTATTGGGCCATCGGTTAATGGGGGCAGCCGGTTTATCGGGACATTTAGTCAGGAACGGAAACATTTCTATGCAAGTGCATTTAAATTTTGCCATATATTCGGGACGAAAATCCGCTTTATCAGGGCAAGGTCGAGATTAACTTATGCTGTCGGTCCCAGAGGAATTTTTCCGCGCTCTACCTCGCTCCTCTTCACCGTGTCTTTTGTGGTTAAGAGCTGGCCGACTGTTAAGGCAGAGACCATCGCAAACAGCTTCTGTGGATCTGGCTTTTATTCCGGTCCAGAGGTGCCAGCGTCAGCCAACGACGGGGGTCTAACCATTATTAATGTCACTAACAGAGGAGCTTATGTCAACATCGACGAAAACGCACCGTGCTTCGCGGAAGACGATGACTTTGAGGACGATATAGTCTCGGACATCGTTGCCAAAAGGCCTTGCTAAGAGAATGTCGCAGACAAGGAGCCTGAGACTTTACTTAAGGTGACTCGCGTATGAGGCCAAGGAAAGAGCGCTCGGTGGACATCCTTCAGCGCTACTTTATTGAGCAGGGTTTGGATGATAACGGACACGGTGCTCTTGGCATTGGTGCTTTAGAGAAGCTTTTTCGGGTATGAAACAAGCAACTATAAGCACATTTCTTGAATCGTAATTTTTGTTTTTGCACAAGACATTCGTGTCTGGGTTTCTTACTATACTATAAGGTAAGTTCGCTTTATTGGGGCAGCCGCTTAACTGGGGCAAATCGACCTGGAACCAACGTGTCCCAATTAAGCGTAATCCACTGTATTGATAATCTCTCCTGACTTATCCCTGAAAAGCGTGGGAAAGGAGAGAGAAACACGAAGATACAAGACAGTGAATGTCAAATCCCAACTAACCTACAGTTTCTTCCCGCAGCAATTAAAGCATGAATTTAGAACTTTTTCAGAAAAGACCTCTGCACATTATTGGCTGAAGGAAGGCTTATCCCCTCTAGTACAAGGGATCAGAATCAAGTTTGGTATATTTCTCTGGATGCAATGTTTTTCTCGCGAACGAAAACAGTTATCGATTCGGTGGAACTGCATACACTTTTAATTAATTATTACGTCCGCATCCCTAATTTGCAATATAACGAATATCTAAAAGTGCGTTGTAAAACATATACGATATTTAAGTCAAAGCGTTATGCAGTGACGCACAAATGTGAAGTCATAAAAAAATAACCTTCGAAGCAGTCTGACGCGAGAAGTCTTACACAGGGAATGCTCTAAGAGATCACCAATATTAAAATAATGTAAGTTAATGCTTTGTGCTGCAATCTATCAAACTAATTTAGCACAGTTTTATATTCTGTGAAAACAAAGCACTGAAACCACCCTCAATTTTTCATATCTGAGATAATATTCTAGCACCTACTTGCCCACCAGGGTCATAGTGTACCACGCGTGAGACCGGTTGTAGCACAGTATCGGTAATATTAAGGGGGATTCCGTAACGGAAACTAATTGGGAGATGAGGCGCGGGTCCAATCCTAAGATGGTGGGAGGGCAGGACTGTTCCTTCCTGCCTCGCTGCATTGACAGGGCCATATGCGCTCGATAAATGAATGGACGTAATTGGGGAAGAGGAAAATGGCTGCAAATAGCGAAAGTCGCTATGGCGAGAGCAATCCCATTACCCGATTCCAGGAAAGGAGTGAGTTCTGAGAAGATGAGTTTTTTCTACCGTATCTTCTTCACAACTGTGGCGAGGGGAATTGGAATGTGAAAGGGACCAGTAAAACCTTATTCCATCTCTTCTGCTAGCAAGTTCGAATTATTTGATAGAACGGCCGAGAAAGCTAGAGTCCGTATAAACGGGAGCTACGAAGTGTTGGCGTTCGGATAAACGTGAGTTGACAGTACGTTTCTTTGAATCCACACTATGCAATGCAGGTTTTATTGCACCCTGGTATGATGAAAAGCAAAGAGAAATACAATTTTAAAGTGTCTTCCTGTCTTTCCAATCTCAAGGATGCTCAGTTTTCTCCACCTCCCCTCCTTCCTGAAAAATTCCCCGATGAAAAGAGGAGGAGAGGCGGGGGGGGGGGGGGGGTTCTGCCGAAGGGCGCCTGAAACTTAGGGGGGGGGGGGGGGGGGGGGGGGGGGGGGGGGGGGGGGGGGGGGGGAGTTCTGCCGAAGGGCGCCTGAAACTTTCGTCCTGACCTGTGAGCTTCATCTGCCCCATAGTTGTTCGAAATGAACGATTTAACGCGTACTTCGCCTCCTTGTACATGGATTGTACACTGCAAAAATTAAAAATAATAAATCAACCTTTCGGAAAATTCTGAGTAAGCGTAAGAAACACAGTAGCCGTCTAATATGCGTGAAAGGGAGTCTGGTTTCATAGCGAAAGCCATGTCTCCTATTTTCTCACGTAGACATACTGTTAGGGTCAGAATCGGTTGTTCTGTAAAAGAAGATAATTTTTCGCGTCTTCCCGTCTTATTCGGGGAATCCTCATTAGCATTCATTACTTGAGGACATATTGGCTCCCTCATTAATCCGCGAGATTTTAATGAGATCTTTCTTTCTTGGAAATTGATTATGAATAAATTTCGTCATTCTACGATACGTATTTCAAGAACTTCCATGCAAAATAATCCCAGCCCTGCTGATGATTTTTGGTACTGAAGAACGAAGTCCCCGACGATGCAGCATTGCTAGTCGAAGTTGGGTTAAAACCCTCGGAGCTGTTTTCACTTGTTGAGAAGCAACTTCGAGCATGGAGCGCCTGTCTGCTCTTGGAAAGTCAATATCCAGATCGATTCCGATCACGGGTGGCATATTCCTTACGACGTATGTATGTCAACACTTGGATTTGTATTAGATTATGTAGAAAATTGACTAATTTCGGGGATTTCAACTAGAATCATTTTACACAGCGTCCAGTCAAGCTCAATCTCCCGGCAGACCCAACCCAACGCTACCCTCACCCCAAGAATTTTTAAATTGAAATTCCCTTTGGATAAATGCCAAGAATAATTGGATGTTGAAATTTGGTAACTGCAACAAAGCTGCTCTTGCGCCAGTCGCTATCGCTACTCCTAAAGCACAGGAAAGAGTTCTAATACTCCAGGAAATTGACCATTCTAGCTCTCTCTTTATCTTAATAAAGTCGTTCAGTTGGATGGCCTAGATCTCTTTCAATTCTCATTCATGTACGAACAGCAATTTATTTTATTTATAAAATTAAAGTACGGTATGGATGCTGGCTCATGAAATACCGAAGCTCTATTCTTATTCAGAATATTATATCAAGTGACTTTTTTCGGTTTTAACGCAGCGCAAAAATAATAAGGGCTTCGAATAACGAATAATGTAACGTAACAGAACTGTTGGTTACAAAACCGCTAGAAGAAATCCGATGCCGGACTCAGTATTTTAATGTTGAATACTTATTGTGTTCATCGGATGTCTTCCCGCTGTTCCTCACCTTTGGTTCGTGGCTTTCACTGCAGAGAGATTATATTGCAGCCTTCAATCATGAAAAATGATTGAAACGAGTAAAGAGAAAGATGTACAGTACTCTGTACAGATTGCAGAGAGAAATACGAGTTGCATGAAGTGTCATATGCCATAGACTCATCATCAGTCCGGTGTGCGACAAGAAGTGTCACATGTCAAGCATCCTTGAGGTTTTCAAAGTCATGGCATAAGGGAAGAGGACAGGCTTTCCTGCCCTATTGACTCAAGATAATGAAAAGAGTAGATATTAGAGATAATTCTGCAATATGAGAGTAGTCAGGCAAGTCGGATGGAGGGAGAAGAATTCCTACAACCTTTCCCGACCATTTACTGCCACGAGAAAAATGGAAGTAAGGAGGGCAAGGAGCCCTTTCCTGCGATAAACACATATGGCATGTGTCTGCAAGATACATCCATCAATTCAACGGGAAGAACGCGAACATACTCCATCTTGGAAACTTAGAAAACTCATGCATGCTCCTGTCTCTTGACTTTTCAAACACATTAGTGAGAAGGTTAGGGGATGAAGAGTCAAAAATAAATAAAGGGGAAAAGGAATTTTTTGTTTTACCACAGAATGGTTCTGGATGTGACCACTGTCCAGTGGACATGCATTCCCTGGTTCTGTGACCGAATAGAAGGAATCCGTCCATACAGGAATAGTTGGCAATGGAGCCGACAGCGTGAAGGGCATCCAGATCATCGGAAGATGGAGGAGGCTCAAATGTCACTATTCCACTCCTTCCTCGTCCGGGATAGAAGCAGCCTGCAGAGAAAATTAATCTAAGATTAGAGAGGAAAGCCAAAGACCATGGTAGTGCTGTATCAATTCATTTCAAAAGCATGCACAATACTTCAAGCACCCGGGTAATTTTTAAACATCATACTATATGAAAGTGGTTTAACTATGTATTTTCAAAGCTAGGAACGGGAAACTTGGCGACAGTCACGAGCACTTATGGGAGATGGATTGCTCAATGGACACATTCACTATGTCTACCTCTCCGTTCGGTAACGTGACATACCACGTATGTGCAGAGCATAATTGTACATGGCCACCTCCAGTGTATCCTCGGAAATATTGAAAATCTCCCCGCTTTTACTTCATTTAACTCTGCAACTGTGTCGGGGTTACATTCAAGTCTTCAGTCCTTTCAAAAGGCCCATGAAAAAAAACATTCGTATGAATTAGACTTCACCAGCCGCAGAACGGTTTTCCTTTCCAAGTGTTACACGTGTCCCGCAAGCATTGCGCACATTTTGCTGTACCGTAACCACTGAATTTTCACGTTGAGGAAAATGATGAAGACGGAATCTTCTCCCATTTTATTACCCTTACGTTCTCGCTCTTATCCACGTCCGCACGACATGGATGCGATGTTGGCGTCACAATGATGCAACGAACGTGAGGGCATGACGGCGTTCGTCAAGATGTGGTATGGCTTCTGCTCTGCTGTCCGTGCCGCTACGGCTCTTCAGATCTTTCGGCTCTACCACGTTTCCGTTCATGTTTATTTTTAACTAGGATTGGGCAATATGGATTTTGAAGGGATCGTTATCGCCTACCATATATCGACCAGTATCTCAATATCGCCAATCCCTAAGGTCAGGATTATAATTTTTTTCGGCTTGGTTTCTTTGGTCAAGGTTTCTTATTAAATGGGAAATTTTCATTTCCCTATTTATTTTCCTAGAAATGGGCCGGAGGACAATGTGCCTCTCAAGGGAAATTACTGGGCTAAGTCATCGAGGTATGGTGGTATCTGCCCCTATTCTCCCTTCTCTGTCATACAGAATAAGCCTGTATGACCATGGCCTGCATGTATGAGCCTCAAATTAGTAGCTGGCAGGAGTGCCTCAGGGTGATGACTACCACCCACTCCCTGGGCTCCATTGGCTTAGTGGCTCAGGGTGACGCTGGAGCAAAGCCTTCCCAAATTTAGGTTTTCCGTCATCAAGCCTCTTTACATAGACCAAGTCGTTCAGGGGAGTAGCATTTGATCGTGAAAACTTTCCTATATAACTAATCTGCCAATCATGTAGGATAACCTTCTGCAGTTGGCCTTGTCTGTATATCAGAGCGAGTAAGGGACAGCATCAGGTTGATATAGCGATATCGCCATATGTAGTTATATTGCCGATACGCACAGTATTGACAAATATCTCGATGTCGCGATGATCGGTATAACTCTGTTACAGTAAATAAGTTTCTCACCGCAGCAGCCTGAAATGCTGCTATTCAGTTATTTTTTAAATTATTTGTTTCTAAATCTTTATGTGATACGCCTAATTTAGCCTGGGCCTAACAGGAGTTTACAGTTCGTGAAGGCTCTAAATTCGCACGCTTCAACTTTGTAATCCTATTTAGAGAGAATACTGACATACAGTATTTGTAGTGCCTTCAGGAACGTACGAGGAAAATGGGGTAATTCATCCACTTCAACGATACGACTAGCCTAATTGTTCAACGCAAGGAGGCATTAACTACTATTACGTAAAGTTACGTAATCTCTCTCCAATTAGTAGCGGCGCAACGATTCATGAAGTTGGGTATGGGTTCGGGAAAGTTTTCCCGACCTGGCTTCCTATTATTTTCGAATAGAAGATTTTATCCTATCATTGGGTGAGACTATTCACAGCAGAAATCCAGAGCGACGTGGAACTCGCGCTGATGGGTCAGGACGTTTTCTACAGTGCATTCACACATGCTGTGGGATTGACGGACACAGGACACAGAAAAAATAAGGAACACCGGAACCAAGGGCATTCAGGGACTTCCGAGATGCCTGATGCAGGCCACCCCCTGATAACAATATTCACCACCACCAATATTCACCATCACGCGCAGGCTAATCCAGAAATTAGTGGTGGGAGGACCTATATGCTGTACCAATTAAAACCAGCTATTAAAATTCGAAAAAATGCACATATTTGGCGACGAATAAGTTACAGCAACGGAAACACACCAAAAAATTAATTTAACATGCAGATTCATGACTTTGGGAGGAAGGAAACAAAAATGGAACAAATCCAGAAAAAAACCCGGAACGGGTGATCACCCCAACTGAACATCTCGGCGCATGTGCAAATAGGTCCATTGAGCCTCCCGCGCGTCATCGTTGATCTGAAGTACATTTTTAACAGCCGTATGGTAGAACAAGACCGCTCCACAGGGACTGTCGATATGGGAGAGTTGCGTTAATTTTGATGAGTTCGTGGGTCGATGGAAGGACTTGGCATTGCAGGACTGTGGTAGACTAATGGATTTGGACGTGTTGCTTGATGATTCGAGAGCCCAAGTCTTCCATAGGACATATTCTGCTGCAAGTGTAGGTCGTCGAGCACTTCAGAAAGTCTCCGCAGAAATCGTGGAATTCAGTTAACCTATACGTATCAGAGTTTACAGATCTGCAACATGGAACGACCTCATGAAGTTACTTGACAACTTTATTTTTTCGTATACCCAATGTTGCAGAGCTTGAACACCCTCAATGCTTCAGTTTTTGAACAGTGCTACCCTCTTCAGTTGTAAGCTGTGCCCAAACTAAATGAACTATAAAAAAAGAGAGCTATAATAGCATTTCGATATTTGACACATAGAGAGACCGCAGATGAATCCGATTTGGGAAGAGACGCTGAAAAGCACTCAGGATAGAGGATAAGCGAAAATCGTAAAAGCGAAAAAGCACTCAGGATAAGCGAAAATCGTTTCCATCTGGTGGATGAAATATCAGGTTGATTCATTTGAAATGGCGTTTCCTGGTACCATATGAAAATCCTATCATATTTCAGCCGATAATATAAGATCACTTTGACTTGTTGCATATTAAATCAAAGCTGATATTGTGACGGTGATTCTACTTTATTTGTTTTTGTTCTTCTTTTAATCTATCCTTTTTTCCCTGCAATTCCAGATGTCGGTAGAAAAGTCTCATATTCGTGTTTGCATGCTTTATGAATTCAAACTTGGAAGAAACGCCGTAGATGCGACCAAAAACATTTGTAAAGCTTTTGGAGATGGCGTTCTTCCTGTTCGAACGTGCCAAAGATGGTTCAAGAAATTTAGATCTGGTGATGAAAGCTTGGAAGATGACCCGGCCAGAAATCGAATCAGCGACCTCAACAAGGACTCCTTGGAAGATGTAGTGAACTCTGAGCCGTACTTAACGCAGTGGGAGTTGGCGAATAGACTTGACACTTCTCAGTCAACCATTTGCAGGCAACTTGAGGCGATTGGAAAAGTGCAGAAAATCGGAAAATGGATTCCGCACACGTTGTCCATTGAGAATGAGATGCAGCGCTACAACACTTGCATCTCTCTCTCTTCACGTCAAAATCGCCAACCTATCTTAGATCTAATCGTGACCGGAGATGAGAAATGGGCCCTGTATGTTAACATTAAGCGGCGGAAACAATGGGTGGACAAAGAATAGGTGCCAGAACCAACTCCAAAGGCTGGACTACATCCAAAGAAGATCATGCTCTGTGTCTGGTGGAATATGAAAGGGATTATCCACTTCGAGTTTCTTCCCACGAACCAAACGATTACTGGCGATCTCTACGCACAACAACTGGACTGACTACACCAAGTGCTACTCCAAAAGCAACCGGCACTGGTCAATCGAAAGGGAGTCATTCTTCTGCATGATAATGCTCGACCGCATACTTCTCGAATTGTGAAACAAAAAATCAGGGAGCTGCAATGGGAAGTTTTGGCACATCCACCATACTCTCCAGATCTTGCGCCATCAGACTACCACTTGTTTCGCTCGATGCAGAACCATCTGACAGGAAAACATTTTCAAAATGAAGATCTCAAAAACGAAATAGCTGCCTATTTTGTTTCAGTGCCAGCAGATTTCTATTCCAGAGGAATCCTGCAACTACCAAAAAGGTGGCAGGAGGTTATTGATTCAGATGGAAAATATGTTATTGATTAGTGTGTATTATATTGAATAAATTATTACTTTTAAAAAACAAAAAAAAACACCATTTCAAATGAATCAACCTGATACATTGGGAGGTACTTATACCAACATTGCAAAATGTGATTTTCATTTATTTTTGTAGATTTTGTAGTCTGGTCATGTACTGGAAAATGCCTCTGATATGGTCAATATGAGGTAGATAGCTAGTTAGCCATTTTGTTGGATGCATATTCTGATTATGTATTTTTGACAAATTGAGAAAATATATTTCTGTATGCAGCTGGTGAAAATGAAAACGTTTTGGGAGAATAATGCCAGTGTGATCCTCTTCCTGCGCCGGTTTGGATGACCCATCCTTCGCTCGCTGGTGAAGAGTATGGATAGCATTGCTCCTCATCTCAGCAAGCATGATGTTCGATTTGTTGCCATTGGGTTGGAGGACCTGGGGTCTGCTGAATTCCATAAGGGCAACTTTTTCAGTGGAGGTAAGTGCTCTGCATCATACCAAAGCCAACCACAAATAGAGCAGGGAAGGTCTGTTAGCTTTTAGGCTATATTGGATTGTTGCAGAAATTTTTTTTGAGTGACCTAACAGCAAGATACTTAAAAAATGGATGATAAAGACTCGTATGTAATTTCTTGGATTGACCAGATCTTTCCTATGGCACCACAGTTTTATAATGTACATGCATTGGTTCTTTTTTTTTTCCAGAGCTTTATATAGACCCTACAAAGAAGACATTTTCTGATCTCCAGTTCAAGGACGTTGGCCTTATTCAAATGCTTCCCTCTTTGTTCGACAAAAAGGCCAGGGATGCCATAAACAAGGTGAGAGAACCGAAGCTAAACATAAGAATTAATGTGTCCCTAGGATTTAGTTTTCAGTTGTTTGCTTCTTCTTGTGGTTTCAGTCTCGTGAGCAAAAAATTGGTGGAGATATGAAGGGAGACAAAAATCATTATGGAGGAGTGCTTGTGGTCGACAAGGGGGGCAAGCTTGTGTTCCTTTACCGTCAGCAGCACTTTGCTGAATTCCCAACTCCGGAAGAAATTCTCCAGTCACTTGGCATCTCATAATTGTTACCTTGTGATCCATGTTATCTTCCTACTAATCACTTATGCAAGATAATTATGCCATTATCAAGGTGCTTCTTGTTATGATTTTCCAGTCTTGCAATTGAGAAGTATGTGATTGTCTTTTGCATGATTTCATTACAATAGTGGAATTTATTTGTTGTGTTTTTTTGTGGCATGCAGTGTGTGGACACTTGCTTTTTCTGTATCTTGCAAGTATCAGTAGAAATTAGAGATCGACTGATGTATCAGTTGCCATTATAAATCAGCTGATATGCCCATATCAGTGAGTATTCCCTTAGGCTCTTCCAAACCTTATTTTTGCTGATATCTAAAGTATCTTTGCAGTAAAAAGAAATATGACTAGGACTCTTTTCCATGCCCATATGGAAACCATGAGGCATGTGATATAGCCAATATGGCATTATCCAAGAGGTGAGGAATAGCAGGTCTTTTGCTCTGCTTGTGTTCTGGTCTTGCACATGGACACAGACCTTTGCTCTAAGGCTTAGGTTTGGCCTATGCTTTGCAGCCTAACTTCATTGTGAGTTCATCAAGGAGAATTTGAAGTGAAATCAAGCTGTCCTGTTGAATCTTCAATTTGGTTTTGTTCATGCTGGAATGTTGGCCAATATTGGAATTGGTAAAATTGGTAAAATCTAATATCAGTCGATCTCTTGTAGAAATAGGCACTTTTTCTATCCATTCATTAACTGCAGCAAAAACAATCATGTTGGAGAGATGAATTCCTCCACTTCCACAAAATGGAAGCTTTACATTTTCTGGTCTTGCCACATGCATGACAACTGGTTAGGTTAAGTTAATCTGTGATGATTTGCCTTCATGTGCTCAGGGTGTCCATATAATGGCATCACTGCAGTTTGAGATGTATGTAGTTTGAGATTTTTTTAAAGATTATTGCTGATATTCATTAGACTATCTGATTTGTTTCAGTGTAATTGAATGCTTCCTATCAAGATGATGTGAACTGGAGCAGCGAAAAATGACACTGGGAGATGAAAACTATAGTTATCTCTTGGTTGATGATGAGTCTGTCTGCTCAGTCATATCGAGGAAGTTTAACATATATAATGCAGTCCTTATTTTCTTGCAATAAACCCTTGACTTGCAAAAGCCCATGCTTTTTCCTCAAGAGGCAGGAAAGGGTGTGAACTTCACATTTTCTATTGATGCAGTCAAAAGGGCATGGTAATAGTCTATAGTTGTGAACTGTTCAAACAGATGACTTGTAGTTTCTAAAGATTTTTTGAGAGGCTGAGGAAACCTTATAAATAATGTTGTTAGAATCACGATCTGTAAATTAATTTCTGTCCAGTATTTGATGTGACTCCGTTGTCAGGAACCAGGTTGGAAATGGTCTTCAGGTGATACTTGTCACAAAAATAAGTTTTTATGTCAGTTGGACTGTCGTAAATGCTCACTCTAACTTATTTTGGTCGCCGACATTCACTAGGACGAGAAAGCTTATTAGCGGGAAGTTGACCTTCCTGAGCGTGAAATGAGTTTGTAACGAATCTTTTGCAGATGAAGGAGAAATACGGTAACAGTCTCTTAAATGAGGTCCTTGAACGACTTGGACTTTCATAGGAAAATCGACGTTCTCGTCGGTCCGCCGGACGGACAAACGACATTGCTGATGGAGAGCCTGGCCACGAACGGCATGCTGACCCTGTAGTAATGCACCAATTACAACGTGATCTTCCATGCCGTCCATAGGAAAGAAGACGAAGGACCTCAGGTTATGAAAGATCTCAAGGAGAGCAATCTACGTCAGGGGTTCCCAAGCTTTTGGGTCATTGGGGTCGCACAGACCCTGGGTTGCTGGCCCGCAGGATGCAAAATCGAAAGCCAGTACTGTGAAATTGTCCAACGAGGTGCCAATGTAGAGGGAAGCGGAAACTTTCTCGATCAGAAAACCTTAGCTCCCCTTCAGTTGCAGAACGGTGAAGCAAAACATACTTTATTTATTAACGCGGTCCAACATTTACAGCTTAAATATGAGTATTGTGTGTTCCTACCACCGCCTCGGTAGAATTTTGCTTTAGCTTTCCAGGGTGGATAGCCTATTTCCAGATTAATTTGAATGTTCTTTCTGAAAGTTGAGATTCAATCGGAGACACACAATCCGTTCATTTAGGTTGTGTCATTGTATTAGAGGATTGATCGATCGAGCCATTATGGGTGAACTCAGTAAGTTTGCCAGCAATAAATCAGGTTTCTCCATCATGGACGAGGAGACGAGGACAGAGACGGACTACTTACACCTTTTGGACGATAGGAGTCCGAAAACGGATCTCGAAATTCGAGAGTTGAGTTCTTCACAAGGCTATAATGAGTTTTCGAATGCATCCGACCAGGATTGGCTTGGTGGGGTAAACAGGGAAAGGGATTTAGGGATCATCATGGAGGTGGGGCTGAAATTCGTGGAGCACTTGCAATCAACTGTAGCTTCATGTAACAAGATCCCGGGCTCCATACGGCGTTCTATTACCAATAATAGCCAGCGCGTTATTCATCCGTCATATCCGGCGCTGGTATGGTACCATTTGGAGTGTAGCGTTCATTTTTGGAAGCTAGCAAATAAAGTGGATTTAACGACGCTGGAGAAGGTTCAGAGACTGGCTACTTCGATGATAAGGGAAGTACAGGGACTTGGGTACGATGACGTTTAGACGCATCGGGCCTGCGTTCACTGGGGAGAAGGTCAACGGGAGGAAACTCATCGAAGAATTCATTCAACAGCATCGAAAGCTTTGATGCCGTGGAGCGTGGAAAGTTTTTCCTGCTTGATGGTAACTGCAGATCGACAGCGAACTGTTTAAAATTTGAATGTCACGTTGCGGAATACCTTTTCCTGCCCCTTCCGTGGGTGCTTGAAGAGATGGTTAGATGCTTCCATGGACGAAACAGAAAATATAGTTGTAAATAGCTTGGCATTTAACTGACTCGTCAATGTGTCCAAATATTTATCTTTTGCATATCTCAGACGAGAAGAGATAAAAGGAGAGCTCGATTTCGACTCGAATGCCAGTATGAGTATGTATACTTCCCACGAGTCAACCCCCAAGTCATGAACCTGGAAGGATCGATTTCTTTTTCTCAGTATTCCGACTGACGCAACCGAGAGTGAAGCATCCGGTCGCAATGCTTAAGCAAAAACAGATAAGTACGAGTATGCGGAGCTACGCGTCATTCCACCACGATCGATATGCATGTTTCTACGAGCGCGAGAGACCCCTGGTCCATCTCAGACGGAAGTGCAGCTGTTTCGGGTTTAGTCTTTCCTCTAAAACCGCAAGGGTTTTTTTTTGTGTAAAGGGAGAAAGTATTGGCGATCTCTCGCGAACCGAAGCGTTATGCCCCACGGTTTCCCGAGACCCGAGGCGCTTTCACTTCGTACCCGGAAACCTTTTTTACCCTCAGAGAGAAATAAGGGAACCTTCGAACGTTCTTCGTCGTGCAGGTTATCGTACGCGAAAACGGGAAAGCTCGATTCGTGCATGCATCCAGACGACTGGACGCCGTTCCGTTTCCGCCCGTGGCCAAAACTCACCGTTTTGAAGGCGACCGAAATCTTCGAAGATGAAAAATGGTCATCCACTCGATGCAGTTCGTCGACTCGCTTCCGTCTGTCGACATCCCGCGGGTTCGTCGCAGCCGGTTTCACAGCAGACCGCAGCAACCTCGATGGAGCTTTGCAAGCGTGACTCGGGTTCTCAAAAAGAAGCCTTAAAAAAAGTCGGCTTGGCGCATGGTTCGCATTGTCTCGCTCGCTCCGTGGCGGTTTCCGGCGCCACTTATAGTCTGTCACTGAGATCGATAGCCGCGTCGACACGAGACCCTCCTCCTGGAAATGAAAAATATTCTTTGAGCTCGAGGGATAGGTTTTCGTTATGGGATGGGAATACGGATTGCGATCTTATTTTTGACTTTTCTAAAGAGCCGCAAAGTGGACGAGTGGACGTCTCATGCGGAATGAGGAAACTTCGACAGTAGCTTTGTAGAGGGTCGTAAGCTTTTCAAATTTCGTTGGCATTTCGTCCTCGAAACCCCGGATTGTTGAGTCGATCGACGTGTCGGCCGACGAGGACCGTCCTCGATTCGTCTTCGCTTGAGAGCAGTTTCTTCATTCCGCACAGTTCGCACAGTTCGAACGTGAGTTGATGTCTCATCCCGGTTTCTCGGCACTTCGCCACTAACTTCGGTATGGCAGGTTTTGCAGGCACTTTCACGTCGGGATACCTTTCCACGAAATTTTCACAACATATCACGTGAGATTCGCTTTGAATTATCAGCGATAAAAATCCGCTGCTGTGATGAAAACCGCATCGCTCGCAACACTGCTCACTGCTCTTCGAGAAACACCAAACACGTACCGTTCTGGAAGCTTTCGCAGCTTTCACCCTGCTTGTCACCGCGTGAGTCCACAAGCATTTCCTGCGGTATCGACAAACTATCAGCAAACTATCGCAACTATGACGGAAGACGACCTCCAACAGGAAACGGCAGTCGCATGCTACAAAACCAAAATCTTGGTTTTCACTTAGTGATCTTCTTGAAATGAAATTTCTGCTTTGATTTCTTATGCACCATACTCTCTGATGGTGGCACAGATCGGATGAGGAATTACGCATTTAAATTCACGCGATGACGTGGCAGAGGCCAATCGTTTAGGCTTCGCATTCTGCTCCAATGCGAGAAGAAAAGCCGGTGGGGAAGGAGTGAGCACGTCGAATATTCCAAGTGTTCTAGATGTTCGTGTCCGGCGAGAAAATCGGCGTTTTGAATTGCGGTTGGGCCCTGCGGAAAATGCCGAAAATCGCGATCAATCGACAAGACATTTTAGCCAAAATATCCTCCTTTTTCTCTTCAGCGGCTTAATTAAGTGCCCCGAGCACAAAAGTCATCCGCACTTTTAAAAAAATCTCGGTTGAAACAATCAGCCGTTCAATTATTGCTCGACAGGCGGTTCGTTACGCCGGCAAGCCCTTCTTTGCTTTCGAGGACTTCTTCCCACGCAATTCTCGCTCTTTTTTCAGTATGAGCTCAGAACTTGACAAAAATCCGATCAGGGCTAAATGAGCCAATTGCTATCTCACTTTTAAAAAACTAGGTTGTAGTTTATGCGTTTGAGCAGCCTGATAGCCAACCTTGAAGATTTTCCATTTGAAAGCAGCTGTAAATTACTTCTGGCGCTTGCTCAGTCTTGAAAACTTCGAAGAGGATCAAATTTGTGTCGAGCGGATGAGATTAGTCAGATGGCTCTTTCGTATGTCTTCTAAACGTGAAAGACTAACTTGGACCTAAAAAAGACTGAAATCAGGTTATTATTTGCGGACATTGTATTTCGAAGAACGGACGGGAGAGATAAACCCAGGAGGATTCGTTGCCGAAAGAAGATGGAGCCCATCGATTGACTTAAAATGACTTAAACTCGGCGATTAGGACGGCCTCGATTGAGCAGTATTCAGGGATGAGTTCACTGTCGTCACTGAGTTCACTGTCGTCTATGGCGCTCGTGACTCGGTTGCTTCCAGATCTGCTTCCCCTTTTTGGTATCAGACGTTGGCCTAGTGAAATGAGTTTCCCGTGATTCACCGCTCGAAGAGGAGGCGGTATCGCTCGATCCGGAAGAACAGCAGCCGGTATCGCTCGATCCGGAAGAACAGCAGCCGACATCACTCGATCCGGATGAACAGCAGCCGGTGTACGATCCGCGAGTTGTTCCCGTCTCCGCGGTGGAAAGGGTGGACCCCGTCGTACTGGCACGTGAAGGTTTGGATCCTGAGGATCCTGAGGTATGCAACGCTGAATACGGGCTGTGGCTCTGACTCCAGGAATCAGTTTCGCTCCTGTCACTTTGGGAACTTCTGGTCGTGGACAAAGTATCCACCGTCGGCGACAGGTCGCTTCTGGATCCGGTGGAGCGACCGGAAGAAGAGGAAGGCCCGTCTGTCGAACTTGCAGACCGCGTTCTAGCGATGCCGTTTGACTTATCGCTCGACCCTGCGGAATCCGGTCCCTCTCGCAGGGACCAAAGATGACCCGTGGATCTGAAATCGACGTCATCGAGACAATATTTCATCCGACGAATGCTTCCTTCTCTCCGCACCGAGTCGGATTTCTTCTTCATCGTTTCCAGCCAGCCGACATCGAATAGTCGATCCGTCCCGATTCGTCTCGGGGTGTTCCATTCACCTGTTCGTGGAGCGGTGAAACCCACTTTTAAGTACAGTGCATTCCAAAAATCACTCTGTTATTCAGGGAACTATGGGGCGCCCACGAAAGTACGTATGACAGGGGAATCGGATGGTCGACCGAATTGACTATACAAAAGCCGAAGCGCATAAAGAAATGAGGTGATGTGATGGCGCTGTCATCGTGTTGCGTCCTTACGGTTGCTAGAACTTCGAATGACTCATGGAATGCCCTGAATTCTTCTGTACTGCTTCTTTTTCGTGCATGTCACCGACGTCGGAGGTGACAGTACCTTGCTCCGTGTTATCTGCTTGATCTCGCCTGGATCCGTTCCACTTCTGCCTTGCTGACAGAAGAGTTGAGGCCGGGGAAGTGATTGTTGTCACGTTTGAAAATATCGAGGAATCGGCATCGTGCAGAATACAAGGAATTGTCGATGATTCAGATGCAGTCGTGCCGGTGTGAGAAACTGTCGACTTCACATCTGTCGACGAAGATGCGATGCTAGATGATCCCCAATGTGTTGAAGACGTGACTGCAATTACTGTTGAGGTCTGACACTCTAGCCGATTCCGTTCTCATCGGGTGCAATGATTCAATTGCAAGCATCTTCCGTGTTGAGGGTGTGGACATCGAAGGAACGCTCGGAACGTCTACAGACTTGTTATCGTTGCGAGTGAATATTTTGCTGGTTTCAGCTGTCGCTTCGAATTCAGAGCTACTCTGGGTCTCTGACTCTGACTTGGGAATCCTCGCCTTGGAAGCCGAAACAGAATTTGAGGAATACCTGGCGGTCGTGGAGCTGGACTCGTGATCGGTCAAGAAACTGAAGTTCTTCGGAATACTCGCGTCCTCGAGTTCCCATAAGAAATGTTCCCATCTGAGGGTTGAAAGACTCAAAACAGGCGACAGATTACCCTGTGGAATAGTGTGTTGCGATCTATCTCTATTATGCGAGCCTCTTGCCAATACGCATACTTGGTCATCTCCAAGATGCTTATCCTCGAGTTTCTGAACCCTATACTCTGTTTTGCTTCGATTGAGAGTGCTCGTTGAGAAGGACCTTCCGAACGATCTCGAATCCGAGCTGGATCTTTTCCAGAGCATTAATTTATTCTTCGGGCGGAATCTTTCCGATGGACTTCTCATGAGGATCCTTGATCGTGCCGAGAGCAACGACGCCTGCGCAGCACCATTTGCTGCCCTCATAATTTTCCCCGAAATACACTTACATGCGGGACTTTCATAACCAGATTCATATGGGGAAGATTGGGAAGCCTTTGGATACCCTTTAGCTAAAGTTGGAATGGAATCGAACACGGCTTCCAACTCTTGACCCGATCCGGAGGGTGTAACGGTGGGATGAATCTCAAAATGAATGCGTTACTGAAATGAAGGTTTCTGGGTCTTACCTCTTAGCGGTTTTCTGTAATCATCTACTAATTCCATTCCTGAGGGCTTCATCCGGTGTTCACGATAAAGATCCAGACCCACAGCCGACACGTCTGTTGATCCACTCAGGAGTTCGCACTTCGTTCTTCCATCCACGTCCTGCCTCGATTCGGGTGCAGATTTCACCGCAATTTCTTCTGAGGCAGGGTCAGCCTTCTGGTGAATCATCGACAGATGAAATCTTTTGAGCTGCGTTGAAGACGCATGCAGTGCTTCGTCCAGCCTATTCCCCTCGTTATGTTTCTTACGGTACCTATCAGTCTTTTGGGAGGCGCTGTCAATTGTGTCCAAAGGTGTATTGTTCCTATGGCACCTCGGGATAGAATGTGTTGCTCGCTGACCCAAGCCAACTTTTCCGGTGCTGGAAGGGGACAATGAAGCTGTCTGACTCCGGGAATGCTCATTATTTGAATGAATACTCGTTTCAGTGGTTGTGCTCGTTCCAGAACTCTTAACGGAGAAAAGTGTACTTTCTGAAGGGAATGCTCGTGTGGTAGCTCCCTCACGGGACACAACATGGATCTCGGAGATTTCAGCCGTGTTTGCATCTCTGGATTTCTTGGAAGACCTTTGCGATGACTCCGCCCGAAGAGTCGGGTCGAAACCGTGGAAGAGCGAAGTATCGACTATGCCATTTGCAACGAGTTTCTTGATCCGATCAGCCAAAGGAACGTCCACTTCCGTCTCGTACGAATTCGTCGGGGCTCCTCCACTTTCATATCTCCCCTTCGTTTCCGAGTTTCTCTCTTGGTTTTTTCTTGTTCCCCTCAGTCGTGCTGTCTCCTTCAGCCTGAGTGTTTTCTCAGAGGGAGATGTTCTGGATTCCTTCGTCGTGGCTTTGGAAAGAGACGTCATGGAAGATTCCGAACCGGATGAAGTTTCCTCGTATCTTCCCAAAGCCTCTGAAACTTCGCAAGAACTTTCGGAGGCTAACGTTACTCCCCACCTTTTCCATTCTGGATTTCGAACAGGCGCTGAGGGTTTGAGATGCTTGCGACCTCGAGGATCGTCCACGGGATATTTCGGTTCTCTTCCGAACTTCGTCTGGGCTGACAAATAATTCTCATCGGATCTGGTTGAGGCTTCAGTGCTTGTGGTGATCGCCGATGTGATCGATGGACTCGTGCAGGATTGAGCTGTTGACGAAGCGGAAAATAAATGTCAAAAAGTGCTAGCAACGGATTTGCGTTATTTTTGAGACAAGATTTAAGGACACATACCGATTGCGGGTGTTTCCGACGAAGAAATTGCAGAGGCGAACTCTCCACCTGATTTATCTCTAGGTTTCTTTCTCGAGGTTGCTGAAGACAGTTTTGTGGGTCTTGTCCAACTTGAGGCTTTTGAGGAACCTGGAGATTCTCTTCCTTTCCTTTCTTGTTCACTTTTTGGGGAAGGAGGTGGTAAATCGGCGTCAATTCCAAGTGCCAGTTCGGAAGCTTCATCTTCGGGTCTCACTCCAGCTCCAAGCGTTCTGCCAAATCCTGAGAGTTTCATGCTGTGTCCCATTCGCGTCGCAGATGTTCGCATCGATGAATCAGGACTGCTTGTCGTCGAAGATTCTGATGACGACGACGTCGTCGTGGACTCCACTTTGGGAGGCAAAGGGATTCCGATTTCTGAAGAATCTTCAAGAGGTGAGACTCCAAGGTTAATCTTGCCCTTTCTCGTCACTGTTGGTCTTTCGAGCTCCGTTTTCTCCCCGTCTTTGGCCATCGAAGCAGATTTCTTTTCACGTTGAGAACTTCTCGAATTTAACTTCATGCCATTTACTTGTTTGGGAGTCGAACGCATGACGACACTTTTTGAAGTGCCGATCTTGACGTCATCGGGAGATGCTGTTGACGCTGGTTTCTCCGCTTTCATTGCGCCTACTGAAGGTATTTTATTTACTTCTTTATGTGTCAGTCCTGTGTCTTGCTTCCAGGGCCGTACCTCTGCTGCGGATTCCCCTGAGATTCTTCCCTCGGTCGGTTTCACGGAAGTCGTCCGAGACGATTTCTCGCTTCTCGGCCTCGACGCTTCATCGTCGGGGTCGAGGGACACCAGGGCGTCGCGAGCCTCCTTTCCCCAGGTCTTCCCCGAAATCTTGTATTTTTCATATTTTTTCGAAGATTGTGGCGCTGTGGACGGGATCTCCGCGGTCTTGCTCCTGTCCTTCAAAGATATTTCGCTTTCGGATTCTGAAACTGACCGCTTTGAGGATTCTTTGAGTGCCGTCGATGACGAACTCTTGGTTATAATTTCCTCTCCGGGTTTTATTTCCTCGGAAGAGTTCCTTGAAGGCTCTTTCGAGGACTCTTTGAACTTCGTACCCGTTCGCTTGGATGAAGTCTCGTCCTTGAAAGCCTCTTTGGACACCTCACCTGAAGGTTCTGATGGGTCTTCTTTCGGAGCTGGTGCAGATTGACCTTCCTCGGTAATGATTCTCAATTTGTGCAACGCTTCGTGGGACGACTTTTTCTCAAAGAACGCTTGCGTTAATTCCTTTGAAACTCGAGTCTCCGACTTCTGTTTTGATAGATTTAGATCCACAGTGACACATTTTCCATCTTTGGGCCGAGCTTTCCCCCCATCTGCTTCTCTCATCATGTGCTTGGGGCTCTCTGCTGCTCTGGGCGACGGAAGTGCGACGCAGATGGGTCCACTCTCGAAGGCGTCCATACCGATTGTCTTGGGAATTCCAGGTGGCATTCCCGTTTGGCTCGCGCACTTGGACGCTCTCCCGATGTTCTCGCTCGAATTCTTCAAGATGTCGTCCTGTGTGATATCCGAAGAAAGTCGAAAAGGTCGCACAGATTTTTCTTGAAGACTTGTCGTCGCCGTCCCCATCGTACTCGATACTTGCGTCTCGGAGTTTTTATCCTGTTGCAAACAAATGACTTTCTCTGGGGTTCCAGAATAGAAACTCATATTTACTGGCATATGGCTTAACCTCCATCTTAAACTACCTTTTGTGAGACTGACGAGGACGCTTCGGAAGGTTTCTCCATCGTCTTGGGCAAGTCTTGAGATGAAGCAGTGGCAGTAGGTGCATTGATGGAAATGGACTCGGATGTCTCCAGGATTTCCAGTATACCCGAAAGTGTCTCAGTCGGAAGGACGTTCTGCTTAAAACCCGTTGTTTCGGTCGTCGAGTTGGATTTCGTCCCTTTCAACGTCTCGGAATTTGACGGCACCGTCAACGAGATTGTGGCTCCAGATACTGATGGCACTGTCGCGCTCATTTCAGCGGCTGTAGCACTTGATGATATCGGAGACACTTCTGATATCGTGATCTCAGGTTCTTCCGGTTCCACGTTGAAATCCGTCATTATTGCTTTCAGAGCCGCCAATCTCCGCTTTACCAAGGCTTCTGCCCTCTCGGCTACTTGGAAGGCATGGGACTTGAGGTCAACTTCTGGCATCTGCAGTGGCGCCTCTTCCCAGGTGGTTGGCTCCAGCAAGGAAATGTTGGGGTACTCTGGCTTCTGTAAGAGAGTCCTGGTATCCAGGCTCTCACCCGGAGTGCCATAGAGGAACCTTTTAGACATCGGGATCAAATGCACGGGTAGACGATTCGGAATATCCAAGTTATGAGTTCTCCTCAGCATGAGATGCAAGGCCAGGGCGAACTCCTCCTTGTCCAGTCTTCCGTCCTTATCCAAGTCCGACTTCCTCCATATGCGTTCGGCTACAAACTGGGGAAGTTTGTAAGCGTTTATGGCGTTCTTGCCTTGGGTCAAGGTCAGTTTCCCGTCCTTCGGTTTGCATTCTTTGAAAATTCGTCCGTATTGCTCTAGAAAAGGTTGCAGAGCCCAACGACTATTGTAATCCGATGTGAATTCGGGGATGCGAGCCGAAGGCGCGCTTTCGAACTGAAACGTGCCTCTCTTCGGGCTCAAATTCAGCAGTTGAGCCTTCTTGGCCAGCAACTCCAAAATTTGCTTCCTCAATTTTTGCAAGTCTGATACGAGAAACTCATCTGACCGTCTGAGAGCACTTTCGTCCAGAGGCTTCAGCTGGGAAGGATCGAAGTACAACAACTTATCCCAAAGATATTCCAGATTGGGAAAGTTGGTCTCCTTCACGCTTCGTTCTCTCTGTAACCGAATGAAGGTCCTATTTAAATCATACAGATTTTCCAACCAAGCCATGTCTTTTTCTGCTCGAGAGCCCTCGGCTTGGATACTACGATGAAAGATATCATTGATGTAAGCCTGGGATTTGGCCAAGTTTCCTCGGTCTTCCAGGACATTCGCCATCCGGAGCAGGTGTAAAAGTTTTCCATGCGAGGCATCGAAGATGAGATCTTTGTGGGAAAAGATGCGACTCGTGAATGGGTTTTCCAGACGTTTCCTGCCGGTCAGATATATGGGAATGGGGTTGCTGGTATCCAGATGACGAGATACCAGGGATTGAACCGTGGCCATTCGGTTCAACATTTCGGCGACTTTCATGTCTTCGGCTCGGGTGAAGACGACGCTCACTCGATCCCCGCTGAATCGAAGAGCCTGGATCATCTTAATTACCTGAGGCGATAAGCTTTCGGGTATCGATCTGACATCGAAGAACATGAAGATCCTGTCTGCCTTCAATCCCAGCCAATATACGAGAGGGAGTTCGTGGAATGCCCCATGTTTCTTCGAGACATCAGGGCCCCATGGTAAGCCCGGGAATTCCACCAAGTCCACTTCTTTCAGGTTCGGCGAATCGAAGACATGGACTTTGACTTTTCGCAAAATGCCCAACCCGAACTTGGATATGCCTTTGAGCCTACCCAATTTCCCGGAACTGACGGCTTTGGTCCCTTCTAGGGGATTCTGATCCGAGTTCCCGTGGGTTATGAAGAGGATCTCCTTGAGACCAGGGGTCGTCTTCAATGGTTTCTCCGTGAAGGCCTTGAGAAACGGAGTCTTACCGGAAGATCTCGGTCCGATCAAGAGAATCAGGCGTCGGGCGTTGAAATCCGACTCCCTCAAAGCCGGCGAGTATATGACGTGAAAGTCGCAGGCCACCTCCAAGGGCTGCACATTGGTTCGATAACCCACGAACAATGCCTTGCCGATGGCGTCCAAGTCCATGCTGCCGGCGGGTGAGCTCTACCAAAAAAAAGTAGAATTGCGCTATCGGCCTATAATTTTTTTTTCGTGTGGCGAGTAAGCCCTGGGATTCAGAGAAGAGACTGAAAATAATGGGCATAACAGGACTCCGTTAACACGGAGACAAGGACAAAACTTACTGGCTCATTCAGCAGAAGGGCAAAGAGGAGAGAAAATTTTGAAAGGTGACGGGAGATGCAGTAAACTGAAAGTATTTACTCCAAAACAGGTCCTTGCACCTTCACTAGAACGACAAAGGTACTTCAAGGAAGTCTTGTATATTTCGGAGGAGGTTACCCGAATGTGACAGGAACAATCTCGAGTTCGTATACCCATATGTCATGGTCACGACAAGAAGGAAAGACCATTTTATTTCCCTTCCTTTATTTCTCCTGCAGAGCTTGAAATGGAGGTACGACATACGTATCATGTACATGTCGAGGGGTTCTGTGGAATTCAGGGGGATTCTGAATCTTCCTTGTTGGATACAGGATTTCGATAAACCCGCAGGTGTAGTGAAATCGTCTCGGAATGTTTCCATCGTATCGCCTCCCACAATGGAGTTTCCGAATCATCCGGTTTTGCGGTCTTTGCTTCCATCATTTTGTTTACTCGTAGGAGGAAACGGAATCATCGAGACACCCAGGAGAAATGAAAATTTGCATTGTGAAAGCAGTTGAAGCATTGTGAAAATAAAGCAGTCAATAATTCGCGGAGCCATATCAAATGGAAGTTAATCCACAACAAAAAGTTGCAAATCGTTTGGGGAGATGTCATGGGTTCCCCGAGACAACTTCTGACGCTAGCAGATGGGTCCTTCGTACCCACTAGTATGACTCATTCCTGTTCGTAAAGCATTTAAGGACACCGTGACGCCATCGGGCACCTCGACGGCTTGCTCATTCTGCGCATTCCTGAAGAACGGTCGTCAATAGTTTGCAGAATGAATGCTGGAACAGAAAGGAGACCGCGAACGAAAACGGTCGGCGCAAAGCATCCACTCCAATACTCTGAACGACATCCCATAGTCGCGATCCCATTTCGCGGACGGGATTCCGAAAGCTCTCTGATGACGGAAGCATTTTGAGAAGTAGCACCTCAAAAATAATTATGTTAAGTATGCTACTTTCACAAAGCTAATTTTTTCTCTCATTTTCTTGAAATTCTTGCTATTTTCTGACCTACTGGATAGAAAAAAAAGACCCCCCCCCCCCCCCCCCCCCCCCCCCCCCCCCCCCCAAAAAAAAAAAAAAAATTAAATTACTAGGTCCGCGCTGAGACCTTCAGTGAATTCCCATTTGTCAATATAACCACAGCCTTCCCCATGCCTCTTTCTTCAGTAGAGGCAGGCTGTAGCCGGGGCGGCACTCTTCACCCTTCAGCCGTCCACATTTGGAAGAATCGCCAGCGATGGGACGAGTGGAGCCCCGGGATGGAGAATATTTGAGCCAGGGAGATTTAGAATCTCCCTAGGGTTTTTTTTTCACATTCATGCGACATAGAGATGATTTCACCTTACCCGCGGTCTTTATCAAAAATTCTGTATTAATCGTGATTAATCGTGAGCCATTTAATCGATAAATCGGATTTTAAGCGAGCCCCTACTTCCCTCCCTAAATGTGGCGAATGAAAGACGTTAAACCATTACAAGAACAATTTTCGCGGCCGTTGCTGTCCGCACAGCCAGCCCAATACGTGCACGGAATCGGGTGTGTCCGAGTGGGAAGTTCATTGGACGTGATGGGAAAATGGGTGTCAGGAAAGTCTAAGGTGTCTGCTTTCCCGGGTGTCCCAGACACCCTCAAGGGTAAAGGATGGGAAAAAAACTAGTCACGTAGCGCTCTTAAGTGGAGGAAGAGACAGGGAATAGCCCTTCTTTCTCGTATATGACTTTCCTTCCATTAACGTCTTTTTCTTCCTTCCTTTCACCTTGATTTCCTTTCGTCTTCTGACAAGGACTCACCACGATCACTCGCGATGATCGCGTAAAGGCATTTCGTTTTAATACCGCCATCTCCTGCCTTTCGATTCCGCTACATATGCTTGGCAAATCTATCGTGTTGGGAGACCAGATTCCTATTGGTTTTGCTTAATGGCTGGAAAAAGTAGTTTTGTCATTAGTGCGGCCGCAAAAATGCGGTTCAGAGCGTATTTCCCCCCCACTGTGTATCTCGCTGCTTTTGAACGAGACCGCGTTCATTGGAACAGACCTGATCGGAGTAGGTTCCTAGAGGATTTTTTTTCGCGTGGCCGGGACATTTCTTATGGACACGAATGTGGAAAACATCCTCAGCCGAATTTGAAAATCATTCTCGCTGAAACGCATCGATGTGGAAGTAACACCTCGGGCTCGTACGAGTTGAGCCACTACAGTAAGGGCTTTCAGCCGATGTAAGCCTCGATAAAAAGCTGCCCTGAAGCGTCTCGGTTTCAAGCTTATGGGTAGGACAGAGGGAAGCAGGAGAGGAAAAGAATAATCAGACAAAGGGAAACAGCGATGTGTTCTGAAAAAGTAAATGTATTTTACTCCGATCTCTTTAACTTCATGCGTCTTGATGCCGAAGGACGCAAACAGAATGGACTTCTCATTGCTGTCCCCATCATGTCCAATGTCATTCAGTTCACCTTGATTCCCTGCATGTATTGCGACTGTGCAGGACAGCAATAACCGCTCCAGGGCTGATGGTCTTATAGGGATGGGGGGGTATGGTTCTGTTGTTCAACCCCACAGTCACAAATTGCGGCTAGAGTACTGCAGGCCTCGTGAACAGGAGGATTGCCGTGAAAAAGCAAAACACAGCGTCAACATTTCTCTCCTTTTTCTCCCGCTGGTTTCCTTCTCTTTCTGCATAGAGGTAAAAAATAAATTGGCCAGTAATGGTGGCCTTATGAAGTACGTTGTCGATCGGCAAAACTCCCTTTAAACATGAGAAAAATATCATGATCGGCTGATGGCTGCGTGCGGAATTTGCTTTGAGGGGAGAGCCCTGGTTGGATGGACTCAAGTTTGATTTCTGGATGCCATTGGTGCATTCAAGAGTGGTGGTGGACGCTCTGACGTTCAATTGCCTCAATATTCTTGCGTGAAATCCGAAACAAAACTAACATAATAAATCATGATACATGATTAGAAGAAACCTGTGAGGTGTGATTAGTTCAAGTAGATGTGGCTTTAAAAAAATTAACTAAACGCTAGTTCAGTACGAATGTTCTTAGCATCTCACTCTCAAAACTTTTTGACCGCCCTTCGTAATCCAGCTTTGTTTACTTAAGGTTTCATTAGCTATATCAGAGAAAACGTTCAGTGCCCCTGTTGTAAACTCGCACTAAGGAACTATCTAATTCCAGAGAACAAAGCGATCAAAAGTGGGATTTTTCTCATTGTGCTATGTAATATTCTTCTCTTCATGTTCATCAAGTATGCATCGAATGGAGATTCATCAGTCTCGCCGAAATGAAAGCTCGGCTTCGTCGATGAATGACACACCGGAACAAAGGAGACTGAAGATGTATGGATTTTTGGATCGTGAAAAGAGCTGGCGGATGACAAAAGAGGCTGGACCAGGAGAAGCATGAAGAATGAGATAATGAAGGCTGAGTATCTGCGAGGGGCATCCCCAGGAAATTGTCTGCCAAGAACATCCATCGCCTTTCTCAATGCGCACATCGTGGAGGATTGACACAGTCGTCCTTCCGGGAGTCCCCCGCATGGCAGCATCATGAAGTTCCTCCTTTACACGAAGGCTATCTTCACGAGGGTCCTGTTCTCGGCTCATGGTTTCGTAGCCGTGTGGCGTGTCACTTCCGTGAAACAAGATCCCATTTATTGGTATCTTTCCGCTGCAATTTTCGTGCTCGTCCTGGAGAGCATTTTCACCTTGACACTCAAGAAGAACCAGGAATGGACTTGGTACTGACGATCGCGTTTTCTGATCGGTGTTTTGTCAAAATTTATTCTAACCTTTCCTGTCAATTTTTGGTTTTGTTCATGTCTCAAAGACATTTCTTGCTTTCTTTTGTTCTCATTTTATTTATTTTACCTCACTCGTGCGATCGCTGGTGTAAATGAACCGCTTTGTTTTCTTTTTCTTCAGGTTTTGCCCGAGTGTCTTTTTCTACCTGGGAAGCGTCGTCCCGTCCATTTGGCTCCTGGAATTCGACAAATTGGATCGCCGTCGAGCTTTTCTTGCGCTGGCGACTGGATTGGCGAACGAAACTTCGCTTTCCTTCAATCCCATCAACGCCACGGCGAAAGACTTTGGGAATTCTCTCACGGATATAGAGGAATTGGGATCCATTCAAACATTTGGAGTGAGAATTTTGGCTTATTATCGATATTTTACACGAGCAGAAGCTGGTCTAATTACTTTTTTTCTGTACCCAACCAGATTCAGCTGAAGATCCCGGTGCAATTATCAGCGGAGACGTGGGCCACGGTGATCGAGCAGCTGTTGATGCTCATCCTGATCGTGGGTCGATGGTTCTTACCCAAAGGTGCCCTAACCAGGGAACAGCTGTCTCAACTTCTTCTCGTCTACATCGGGACGGCAGCTGACATCATCGAGTTCTTTGATGCCTTCAAGGACGAAAAAATCGCTACAAACGACGTCTTGGTCTACCTCATTCTCAGCATTTGGACATGGAGCCTTCTGCAATTCTGTCTCGTCCTCACGGCCACCAAGGGACGGAAGACGAGAATCACAGCCGACTTCAAACCTCGGCCTACTAGGCAAGTTTCCATCTGAGTAGGATTCTTTTTTACTTATAGAAACCTTCAAAATAGGGGAAAATCCCGAGAATGTTACCAGGACTCGAACGGTGAAGAAGATCTGTTGTTCCTTGGACGTATGGAGCGTGCTCATCAACATCATCCTGCAAGACGCCCCTTTCCTCGTCTTTCGGCTCCTTTTGATCTTCTACTACAACCTGGTGACCTACATGAACATATTCTTCACGGCCAAGAACACCCTGGTCATCGTCCTCCAGTTCTATCGCCTCATCGTCGTCCAGACCGAAAAGAGGAAGCAACTCCGGCAAGAGAAGCTGGAGAACTTGCGGAAGGGCCGCCATCGATCACGCCATCACAATCATGGGAGGAAGCAGGAGAAGGACTCCGATCGGAGACACCGCCCGTCTGCCAAACATGATTCCGGTGGGTTGGATGCAAGTCACGTCGATTTAAAATCCTCATTGAAGTTCAGGATGCTCTTCCAGTCCTTTTTATCGTTCGCAGCTTTCTACCTCCTCGTTGGGAGTATGCTAGCTTCACGGCAAGATATCACTCAACTATGACTAACTCCTTTGGTAAATAGGTTTACCACGACGTAGGTACCATTAACGAAATGCTCTTGCCATAAACCAGTTACTCAGTTCGATTTGTTTTTTGAAGCAGTGAAAATGTGTTCAGTAAACTGCCTTAGATCTCAATAGATGGAAGAGGCTTTCTCATTTTTAGCCTTTTCCTCATTCATAGACCAATGAAGATTGACGGTCTTCCGATATTTTAAAACTGGTACTAATGCAAAAACTTGCGTCACCAGTACCATCTGTACTACTCAATTTATCTATTGCTCTTTTGTTGGATTTTCCCATTAGCATAATTTTTACCTTGTTGCAATATACCTTTCATATCATTTTGACAAACACAACTCATATTTTTCCCCACTAATGAACTTTAATCTTCATCCGTAACAGTCTAGGAGAGCTTTTGTCGCTTCAGGTGATTCATACACACGGAAGTCTTCTTCCCTCGTCTCCTTCATTTTTAAACACAACGCCACATGGTTCTTACTCTTCTTTGTACGGCAATGTTTTGAAGGTCGTTTCTTATCGGTTTCGTTCGATGATTGTTTCTTTTCTCTAATTTTTTTACGGTCTTACTTTTGCCAGTCAGCTTGTTCTCAAAAAGATGTTTTCTCGAACTGACATTGCTGTAAGGCACAGATACACCTGGCAAGTACTCGATAGCGATTGATCGCTAGTGAGTACGATGTACATACATAGTGAGTACTCGCCATAATCACTCGCCTTCTGGTTATACGTCCAGTCAGCACCTGTTGGCGAGAACTCGTGTAGACACTTGAATTTTCTTCCGTGACGCGTGAAACTCCCGCATGAACTCGATGGAGGTGTTTCGTTACGAGAACATATAGCTCTGCCAGTGATGCTTCTACTTATTGGCCCTGCTGCATCTTTGTGCAAACTTCGCCCTAGAATAAGATGGGGAAAATCATTACGTAAGAAGCGTTAAGCGTTGTCAAGATCATTTCAGCATATAATCGTCATGTTCGAGGCGTGACATACGCCACACAATCGCACAGCGAGCTGGAGATTAAGTCAATATTGGTTCGTCAAATATTAGGTGAGGTGTTTGAAGGCTATATCCGATTTCAGATCTCTTACATCAGGAACTCACTTGCGTTGAGAGTGAACCTTTCTTTCTGTTTGTTCATATTAACCACCTGACCCCGAACAAGTCAGGGTAATCAATGGAAGGGTTCATGTTTTTTTTCTGTTATTAGAACTGGAATTTATTTCAGAATGCGTGCTCGTTCGAGAATGAGTTTCTATTGCAATAGTGAAATTATGGCTTCTCTATTCATCAAACTTTTCACATACCACGTTAAAAGCAGTTAACATATTCCTCCGAGTTTCCATGTCATAGCAAAGAGACAAAATCTAATTCGGATGCAAAAATGACTACGTTTCATATGTAATGCAGGAAGGAAGAGCTCACCAAGTCGTTATTCCTCCCGTTCTGTGGATGACATCTCCGTCAACAGCGAATCTTCGGGGAAGCGTGAAAGAGGGAGGCCTCGATCCCCTTCTCCTTCACCCTCCCCAAAGAAACATCGAGTGAGTCACTTTCATTAGCATAATATATGCGTGGCTCATGCTTGCATTATAACTTTCATGCATCAAACTCGTCCGATTTCTTTATGCAGAGAAGACATCGATCTATATCCCCGTCGATCATTGAAGAGAATGAAGCTTCGGATCGATCGAGGAGCAGATCAAGAACGCGCTCACGTTCACGCTCACGATCGCGGAGCACCAGCGGGGAAAGGACGGAGTCCATTATTTCTCCACCGTCAATGGCCAACGTTATCGACGAAGCGGAAATGACCTTGGCGGAAATTAAAGCAAAGAAAAGGTACAAGCCCTTTGGAGCTTCTTGAAGTTCAGTTTTTTCACCGTATGAACTTTTGTTTTACCTCACAGGTCAAGCACGACCAAATACCAAAGTCGAGAGGATCTCAGGTCAGGAGAACGAGAACGAGACCGAGACCGAGACCGAGAACGGGGGGATAGGAGACGGCATTATGGGAAAACGAGAGACACGGGATATTCTACAGGTTCCACTGCATCTAAAGATTCGCCCACAGCTGCCAAGCCCATCTCCAGGAGGGTCAGACAATAACCTCATCAGTATTTTAGAAACGGAAAATAAATTTGAGGAAGTAATTTTTTTCCCTCCAATTCCTAACAGGCAAAATTGATTCGCGAAAGCGAGAGGGAGCGAATAACAAGTAGGTCCCCACCTCGTGACAGACGGGAGTCTCGACTGCGTTCGTCTAATTCAGCCAGCCAGTCATCGATTCACAAAGCCCAATCCACCATGACCAACAGGTGAATCAGGTGTGTTCTCCCATATAATGGAAGCGAATTGGGAAGGTAGGCGTCTAACTAGGACTCATGGCAACGTTCATGTTAATGCAATCAATTACACGAGTTGTCCATATTTGCTACATTGAACGCAACAGGTAATTAGCCCGAGAGTGACCAGTTTATGTTCTCGCACTTGAAACTACTCTTCCGATGAGGAGCATCTTCGACTTCGTTCTCATTCCTCGATCGAGCAGTGGTTTCTTTGCAACCAGTTGGTTCTCTCCTTCAGCTGATATACTGTATATAAATTACAAGGAACAGTTACACATCAATTCAGATTCAGACCTGTCGATGTGGTAATTACATGTTCGAGTTTTTGACCGAGCAGGGAGGACCTGGGGATGGGGTTCCCCCAGCTGGTGTTGGCGGAGGCAGTTCGAAGATCCCGTATTAAGCTGGAGGACGTAGAAGTCTGACAGGAGGAGAAGGCCAGAATCCGGCAGCTGCTCCAAGACTTTGTCATTCGTAAAACCGGCAAGCACAGGTTTCATCTTCCACGTGAAATGCTCTCCTTTCACCGGCAATGATTCCCCAGCGTAACTGAGTCGCAATTATGTTGGAATGAAGAAGAGCCGGTACGGGACAATTCCCTCTCAAGAGAAATACTAGTACTTCTCTGTCAGAAAGCACAATTTTTTCCCCATTCACATGCAGCAAATCTCTCATTTTTTTTAGGTGGTAATTGGCACACATTCCAAACTAGGTTTTTGAAAGCGAATGCGCTCGTGTGCTCAGAGTTGACTAACTTCTGATTCTGCCGAGAAAATGAAATCGGACGCATCTCGACTCGATGGGAATCATGAATTACTTATTTTCGCTACAGCAATTTGCAATTATTCGTAGCGTGCTGTTAGAGGTGGTTCAACTTCATTTGGAGATATGCGTATCGTGTAAGCAAGTCCAGGAGGATAATTTACTTGGACTTTTACATTTTGCCCTTGAGAATTTTGACCTCATTGTGTAATGCTGTATTGAATTCTGATGGCATCCAGACATTTTGAGGTCGAATAATATTCATTGTCGTTTTGAACAAATGAGAAAAGACAAGCTCTTGGGCCCCTTCGTATGAAATGTGTTCGGCCTAATTCTGTGGTCCTTCTGGTCTCTTGTCATTTCTTCGCTGGAAACCAAATAAAGCAGATTCGTTTGTAGAATGATTGCAGTAATCGTGCATACTTTCATGTACAATGATGAGACTTTTATTCCTGCAGAAACCAAGGGAGCTATTGAGAACTCCTCTTTCAGGTCTGCTCCGATTCCTTCCTCTGCCCTGAATTGACGAAGGGAAAACGAAGATTTAAAACTCTGTAGTTTTTGTCCTAGTTTCTTCCATCACCGGTGCTTCCTTTTGCATCGGGCTCAAGTTTCTTACATGGAAGACCTTGTCATGACTATAGAGTTAAGTTAGAGTGATGACTGGAAGCCAACGGAATATACTTTCTTTTATTCATCTTCCATCGAATAAAGGAATTCCATGTTCAATAGTAAATCCAAACCAAAGTTTGTGCAGGTAAAATACAATTCTTTTGAAGAATACAAAAAAAAACAAGGAAGGCTAGGTTGTGGAACGTTTTATCTCGACTTTAATGAAGGACTGTCCCACAACCCAGGCTAACACATCAGGGGGGGGGGGACCAGAAGGCAATGTGGCCTAAAGACTAGAGGCGAGCAGGGTTTTTTGCTGGCTTGGCAACGGATTTGAATCGGAGATTGCACATAAATGGCCTGATTACTTGGCGGGGATGAAGATGCCATGAAGGCCAATGGGGATGAAATCCTGGACGAGGGCCCGTCCGATTTCCTTCATGTCCCGGGCATCCAGGATGAGTAAGAAATCTGGATTTCCCGGTCTCACATCCTTCACGGATGCTATGAGAATCCCATCGTCTTCCTCGACTCCGCCTCCGTTGGGGCTGGGAATGAATTGAGGCTCGCCTGGGTACGTGAACTCGCTGTCGAACCATGTTAGCACCTCCTTCGTCTCCAGGTCCATCTTCACCAGCTGAACATCAAATCGCATCATCCATCATCACAGCATCAAGAAAGGCAATGGGAAATGATATCCAATTAAAACAAAAGAGGCTAAATGGAGAAACTTTTTCAACTTCAATCATTTTTCCGAACAGGAATACAAAGTACCCTTAAAAAGATATGAAACAGGAAGTCGCGACTCGATTTGTCAATATCTCAAGCAACCTTTCACGCACACACGGAATTCATTCCGCGCACACTCACTGCCAGGGAATGCTATCAAATCGGCAATCAGTGGTTAGTTTCAAATTTGGAGAAGACATAATTCAATTGCGATTTTGCATAATTTTTCTCAGATTTTCATCTCCAATGAGGTTTTATAAAAACTGGAAACTGTAGGTGCTTCTCTATTTTGTCCACTCTGTATAAAGTCAGGATGCAAATCAGCTCAATTCAAAAGCCAAAACCCGAATGTCCATAATGAATCAAACGAACAATGACTAAATGAGTGAGAGAAGAGGAAGGAAACTGACGGAATTGCGGAAATCTCCGGGATCGAAGAACCCCGAGACGAAGAGGTAACGGTAGGGCCTGCCGACAAAATGGGGATTCACGCAGGGTGTCTCATAACCGATGTGACCCGTGGTGTCCGGCGTGAGGATGATGTGTTCACCGTGGTGATGGTGCCCTTGCTCCACCTTCTCTGCCCTCATTTCCCAGCCCTCCAGGTGTACCAAGTTCTCTCCCTTTGGTGCATTCTATCAAATCACATCCAGAAATCAAATGACATATCTGTGATAGAGACAAGCAGTGATGGGCATTATGGGTAACCAATTTTAATCCGGTAAGATTTAATAAGTTATCCAATCTTAGATTAGGTTAATAACTACCATCAATACAGAGCCTTAAACTGGTTTGACCGTAGTTAAGGAACTATCGAGGCAACCTATCCTGGTTGGATGTCTCAACGTCTTCTAGGATGAATTAGTTTTATTAAATAAACTCCTTTCTTTACAGAATTCAAAGAAAATGAATCGCAGGTCACACTGATGAGGTTTCTTGTAGGCTAATCCACGCTCCCTCATAGATTGAGAGCATGTCAGTCTAAATCATCCCTGGCTAGCAACTTCAGCATAACTGGTAGGGGCAAGAAATGGCAACTTTTCGAATAATAAGGAATAAGCAAAAACAGGGATGAATGAAATTAAGAGACATCAATAAAATGAATAAGAAGTAGAAAGTCATTGCAGCGTGAAAGCCCTATACACACAGCTTACACGTTTCGAAATATTTTTAACTTGCTAAGACCTGGGTGGCACGTATACCTGTACATGCCAAATACGATGGGTTTTCTTTCTTCCATATCTGAAGAAGTTAAGGATCATCGCGATGGTTTATAAAACAATACATTTTTTAGCGATAGGAGTGACTTGTCAACACACTGTACTGTCGAATTGGGACTCTTGCATACCGTTAAGGAAATAATTGGACCTTTCGGTCTGAGAGTGACGTTGCTTTTTTGGCTGATTTAATGAGAAAGACAATTAAAAATGACGGGTGAAAGGAATCTCTGGTGGCCTTACTTTGACGGCATCTCCCTCGATGAGGGGAAGAACGAAACGGAGCAGATGACCTCGATCGATCAGGTCAAAATCCGGACTCCTGAGCTTGTCCAGGAAGAACTTATCCACGATCTCCGGGCTGTCGAACCCTATCACGTCCACCACCAACTGTTGAATCCAATTCGACATTCTCTTCATCGGTTCACAGGAGTCACATTACACGGGGGGAATCCGAAACGACGAGACGAACCTGTCCATCAATTTCGTAGGTGTTGGCGTGATGGAAATAGAAGAATGGTGCCGAGGAGTAGAAACTTGTCTTCAGTATCTTACCTGTTCCCTTCTCTACCACCACGAAGCGATTCTGCATGCACAAAATATAGAACGATATAATACCCTCTCTCGCAGGAATGTTTTTTTTTCATACTTTCAGTTAATCTACAGACAATACAAAGCTTTTACATTTCTGCCAAATCTAATTTGTAGAGTCAATTGTTGTCTTCGCATAAGATGTCCATGTGGCTGCAATCAGTTTCGAATGTTCATATAAGAGGTGGAAAAAAAACTGTCCTCGAGTGAGCTCCGTATTCATGAGAGAGATATGTTCCACGCGTTTTCACAGAAGAGAATCATTGGTCGAATCTTGGGCCGTTTGCTTTCGATTGGTAAAAAAAAAGAAGCCACACCCCATCACCCAACATAACCCCTAACTGGTCCACTTGAGAAATTTAAAAACTCCATCTACAATCCACACCATCGTGAAAAATATATACTGCGCTAGGTTCGAAGGTTCCTATTTTGGCCAAATTTCCAGAGAAAAATCAATTGGCCAAAAGCCATGAATGCTTTTGCAATAAGAAGAGTCACCTTCAGATGTCTGGTCGAAAGAGGAAGTAATGCGAGGCTCTCGTTTCGAAATCGCCTCTTTACTATCAGAGCATTAAATGACTTGGAATGAAAATGATTTGATGGCTGCACCTTCTGTGACTATCTTTTAGAAGAGGCTAGATGCTTCCTTGGACAAAAAAAATAAACGAAAGAAGAGAATCTGTAAGCGGCTGTAAGCAACTACTCAGTTGATGGATATACTCTCAGAAAAATACATTTTTTTTTTAAGGATGGACGCCTATCTCTATTGAAGACGATGCACAGGTAGCATTTAAAAAAAATTCTTTTGACTCCTTGTCGTCCTGCAATCTTGATAGGAGGACGCTGGGTCTCTCTGCTGCATATTACTACTAAAGCTCTCTAATAAGTTGGATTCTATAAGAATAAATAATGGGAAAGGAAGGATGCAGAGACCGAGACTCACTCTGTCGTGAGAATGCCACTCCATGCACTCCCTGAGGGACATGCCCTTGACGAGGGCAGAGAGGAGCTTCAGGCTGTTCACCACCATGGGTTGCTCAATGATCACCAGGTAATTTTCACTCATCCCGAAACTGTGGTAGTAGCTGAAGTTCGTCTTCGATCTCGCCGGGACGTGGCACATCAAGCTCGCGTTTTTCAGCAACCCTGCTCCTGCCGGCAACATCTTCCGTTTAATCATTGCACAGTTTCGTGATTGACTATCGCATCTTCATGCTTTACATGCTTTCATGCTTTCATGGCTCCGCATGTGCGCATTAGCAGGCCACAGCCCAGTGTGTTTCGAACGGAGCAAAATGAAACTAAAATAGTAAAAATTCCATCTTTTTTTTAATCATGGCTCGGAGTTCAGTTTGAACACGTCATTTCCTTACATTAAAATTAAGAGGGGGGAAAAGTTCAGGAAACTTTCAATGACTTCAATCATTCAGCACTTCTGGAATTGGCTGGACGTGCCTAAAGATGGTAATAACATTTGCTATGAATGCCATCCTGAACCATCAAATCGGAGTAGGGTCATGAAAAAAAGCGAACTACCTCTTCTCAGTGACATAGCCAAGTACACTTCGCAAGGATTTTTTGCAAATGAAAGCTTAATGACCTTTGCCTCCTGGAGGTATCTTGATGACGTCATAACGAAGTCCATGTAGGAAGGAAGCGCCTAAATTATAGGTCGTGCCATCTCGGTCCACGTGGGGATGGGAGCTGGCCAAGTTCACTCCCACGGCCTTGTGATAATCCACCTGCCCATCGACAACGCGTTTCACATCTCATCGTCGAAAAACGAGAGCATCGTGATTAATGGAATGCGGCGAACCTTCTCCTTGGTTTCCAAGGTCTTGGCGTCGATGCGACGGATGAAGCAAGTCTCGGTCGAGACGTAGAGATCGTCTTGGACCCGGAAGATGTTCGTGAAGTCGTTGTCGGTCAAATGCGATGGGTTCTGCAAAATCGTTCAACAGGTGCTTTAGACGTGATAAGCGAGTTGTGGACATCGGATCCGGTTATGGACCTTCGTATAATGTATATTGTATAAAGGTATGAATGGTATTAGCTATAAAGGATTAACTTTATTCCTTATTAGGTAATTTGGGGGAATATGGTCCCAAAAAAGGAAAACATTTATGAATGGCCCATCAAGATCGAATTTGACATCGCCAATGTTGCGAAAATATTTTAACTGCATTAAATTTTCACACCATTACAATTTTTGGGGTACATTCAGTGGATGTCCGGGAGGCTTTGCATGAGGATATCCGCAATTATTTTTCATGCGGATGGCCAGTGGATCTCCCGTTAGTTCGACGCGGATATCCAGCGGAAGTGCATAGGATAAACTCTTGCTTTATGAGGTCCATATAAAGGAATATAATCCTGCCGATCGGTGCAGTGCAGTGCTTCCATGAAATCAAGGGTGTGTCCATATAACCCTAATCGAGATGGTCGTATTCCCCCCTATTAGCTCGTATGACAAAGTTGACAACACTGCTGCAATCTGCAAATTAAAGGACTAGTACTTTCCTCGAGCATTCTGAAGGGATCGTAAAACAACTTTGGACAAATGGGTAGTACCCATATCCGTGCTGCTATTAGGAAATAGACGCTTAAGGCCTTGAAGGCCTTAAGCGTCATATTAAGTTCAGGGTCACGAGTTGAGCAATCGCATACGCATGACTTTCGAAACTTCATCCCGTATTCCTATGCGTACAGGATTAATGAACACGGCATAACATTTCTGCAGTTGCACATAGTCTTCGATAGAACTATTTTAAAAATTCGCCCAAACTGATTCTTCAGTCTTTTAGAGGATATATTGTGAAGGGCCATATTGCCCCAATGACCGTATTCCCCCAAGTTACCCTTTTTCTTTTCCTTCGCTGCATTCTCCTTCATGACAGGTATATCGTGATTTGTATCGTGCCGCTCGCAAGAATCTCTACAGTCAAAGCGTAAATAGCATTTCTTTCAGAAATTCGCATTTCTCCGACCATCTTGGGGATAACAGGTGGAGAATCATCATTCATATTTATTTCCATTCATTCCTCTGTTTCTCTTTGGAGGGAGAGGTCAGATGGTGACCAACTGTTGCTTATTGTGCCACTCTTGGACTTTCCCTGCGAAGATGACCGACTGAATTTTATTTTTGGTGAAAATTAGCCAAAATCATGCATGCTCGTTTCTTTGAAGGTGTCGAAGAACGGTAACAGTAAACGCAGCGACAGACACAGCAAGAACCAATCGGGAACGAGCGATTACCATCCGGGTGGAACTCGGAATTTTAAAGCCTCTCTCATCGTGAAACTCGGAATTTAAAGGAGGCCAACTAAAAAGTAATATCCCGGACGCATTTTCCCGCATCAATGACCCCGATCCACGTGAATGAAATCCAATTCACAACGGATGCTCATTTTTTCATCCGGGTCGCTCAAGTTTCCCATCTCGTATCGCACAGGGTGCTTCGTAAGTCACAAGACGCTTTCCAAAATTCACGTCCTTTTTAATATTCCATACATTAAATTTTTTTTTGCTTAACAGAAAGTTGAATTATAGGGAAAAACATTTTTTTTTACATATCAGGAAAATTTACCCTAGTTTCCAATTTTTCAATGGTTCAGTGACTTCGTAAGACTCTTTTTTTTGCTTGATTGCTTGATGTTAAAGGAATTCTTCCTTGTTCCAAGTTGAAATTAAAGGAAAATGGAAAAAATTTTAATCAAATTATTGGCCACGTGGAAAGTTTTCTCTTTTCACTTTATGACAGTTTTGCTGTTCAGTTATATTGCAAATTTGTTTCTGTTTTTCTGCATCGAATCTGCCTTGTTTTCTCGCTCTTCCTTATCCCATTAAAATGAAGGCCAAAGTCAAGGCAGGGCAATATGAAATGTTGAGTTTTGTGAGAATTATTCCGTTCGCCAACTTTCACTGTCGAGTTGTGCTTAAAAAAATTGTATAGTTTAAGAGCGCGTACAATTTAATTTTACTATATTGAGATATACATAAGGAGAATAATATAAAGGAGACATGAATTTTTAGAAACTTTTGGTTATTCATGAAGCACTCTGTACATTCAAATCTCCCTTTTCTTTCCCTCTCAGGAGTTAAAGTAGTTCACGAGAGATGTGCAAAAAACGGGGTTTTGGGGTTGAGAGCATAAGAGCAGGGAGAAGTACAGATTAACCTTATTATAGTTTAAAGAAAGGGCCCGTGCGGACAATGAAAGACTTCACTCTTTGTCTTGTGCTTCATACCTTTCATTTCATCGATATTTTCACATGATTAAATTTTATTACACGTAGTCCACATACATCTAAAAAAGTATTAAAACTTATCTTCTTTTTTTTTAATCGCGCAAGGAAGGACAAAGAAATGGCCGCGTTCATTGCGTCATTCGTTCACTGGAAGAATGGCCACTCCGCTTTATGATTCTTTTTCAATGGCAAAATGCACGGGAATGCGGATGTTAAGGTGGATGGACCGCAATGGAAAAAATTCTTGCCGTGAAGAACTTGGAAACAGCGGAAACTAATTTTGATTCTCCTGGGTTCTTAGCGGGTCTTTCTACATCATGGGTCATCGCGTGAGGGGGTCAATTTAGAAATTTACGTATAATTTAAATAAGAGCACGGTTGTCCTTGAAAAAAAAAAAACTATTGTCCATTGTCCTTTCTGAGGAAGTAGGTTGAAATTAGTAAAAACCATTCGAAGATACAGAGATTTAAAAGTGTCAGTAGAAAGAATCTACTGGTTGCACTGATGAGGACCTTCATAGTGAGCAGTTGTCATTTGCACCTGGCATTGTGCTGACACTGGCTGGCTCGCACAGATCTGCTTCTCATTTTGAAAAGCAGGCAGCTCTTGAAAGCCTCGACTTGGGGAGCTTTCAAAGTCTCAAACGGTGAGGGGGGAAGAGAAATGACAATTTTATCGGGTGATATGCGAGTGGCCCAATTTTTATGGGATCAAAGTTAAAGCGCGTGCAAAGCGATTTTCCAACCTCACTTTTTTATATGATCTCCGGATTTTCCTGAATGACTTCAACCAGTTTTGCAGAATCAAGAACAATGGACAAGAATGTGCAACATTCGAGTGTCAAGGACACCCACGACCGTACAAAAGATAAGGGAACGTCAACGGAGGCCCCTGACTTCCTGGCCCACCGCTTGTGACTGGACACGAGAGAAACGAAAAAATGAGAGAATGACACACATACTGGCGCTGCCTTTCGGAAAGTATGCAATTAACGATATCATTTTCCCATACTCATGTCCATTACAATTTCTCTCGACCTAAAATCCCCCATGGCCGTTGCAAGACATCAAAGGTAAGTTAGTTTAATTGAACAGCCGCAAAAATCAGCTATGCCAAGAAGAGGATTGCAATCCACGCAATAAAATGACGTGGACAGCTGTTTTAACAGTAGAAGCATTATGGCTCCTGCTTTTCAATAGAAGTTTGACTTCAAGGAATTTCAAGGATTTGAAGAATTCGAGTTTTTATTTGTTTCCTCGTAATAATTTTTTTTTCTGAAGCAGCCAACGAAAGAAGAGCTGTCTGTTGTCTGCGAGCTACTCGAAGTTTCTCGCTGCTGGAGAGGACTTTACTCCTGACGTGAGTTTCGTTTACGATAGAATATTATGAGGGGATCTCTTATCATGTAAGGTTCAAACATTCCGTGCTTAAGGACAAAATGACGATGATCTTACAAAGTTGGTGACCATTCGGAAGAAGATGTTCTTGCTCGTATCTGGATACCCCCGGGTTCCGAATTCCGTATAAATTGGCTTCCCGTTTGTTTCCGCCTTTTTGTACGCATCCGATTCCAGATACCGCTTGCTGAACATCACCTGATCATACCGACCGAAACAATAAAATCGATTTTCAGCGATAAATTAATCACTCTGCATCGAATGTTCGATTATTTTTAATTTACAGTTAAGAAAAGGTAATCAATGCAAAACGTGTGACAGGTACGAACTCTGTGCTTCAATTGCTTAAATAATTGACAATTCTTCGAACTGCTATGCATTAAAACACGAATAGTAAATACGATTCCCGTCTCTCCGTGGAATCCGAGGGTGAAACCTTGGCCACTTGTCAAGCCGCCCTCGATGAATTATCCTTTCACTGTCTGGGTACATTTCACCATTCTAGCCGAGAACTGGACTGCTACTTGCTCAACGAGAAGTCGAAGGCAACGAACGCCGAGAATTACGAAAGTTAAAATCATCTCACGCGTCCATCTCTGATGTCGAACTTGTAAAGAACGGCGTATCCGTCGAACCAATGATTCAAGCAAAAGGATCCATGCAATTCGTATTTTCCAGGCCCCACACGAACGAAGGAACCCTTCAGCCAATTTGGGATCGTCCCTATGAAGGACCAAAGTTATTAGAAATCATTTTTATGAGGAAATCGCGATACAAAAAAAAATAAATAAATGATGGAAAACTTGCCTTGTATCCTGGCCTCGATAGGGGCCTTGGTCTCTCCGCAGTCCTGGAAATGCTCCTTGAACAGATCTATTCGCTTCACGTCGGCCATATTTCTCCTCGTTTATCCAGCTGTAATCACGAAGACAAAGCTTTTTTGATGGCTCTTCGGAGTCGCACTCTTTCCCGACGACGTAGACGAGACCGAACTGGCGGGTTCCCGGGGAGAAAATCTCACACTACATCCGACCTCAAGCACGCAATCACTTTCCAAAAATCGGTCGCATCGGAGTGAGAGATGGGAGAATATAGGTCTCCATCGTCTGCATTCACCTCAGTGGGCAGCGAACGGTGAGCCCTGGGTATGCGCCCTCGGGGCATCCCGGACTTTCCCTTCCGACTCAGATGCATTCATTCCTCTCGTCCAGCCCTGGGCTTCCACGTCACACCTTGTTGTATGAAAAGATGGGACTGTACGCTTTGAGGCGCCCTGCACGTGGCCTCTGTCGCGGATTCCGTCATTCGCGTCCTTTTAAAGGATGACGGGAGATTAGATGCATCAGGGATTGCATGTCATCGAGGCGACCGAATGAAATTACGGAGTGAGAAGTTCTCATTTTAGCGACGGCAAGATCGTCTAAAAACTGTTAGCGATCCGAAGTCGAACTAAAAATGATCGAGCATTCGGAAAAGACCTGTTCCTGTTGAGATGACTGGAGATAGGAAAATGAGAAAATTCATTCAAACAGTAGGCAGACAAAGTTGAAAAGGGGGGGGAGGGGGAAATTCAACGCCGATAGTGAACAAACGGTAATGAACAAGTAACGAGGCACACCTACTTCATATCGAAGTGAAAGTAATTTGGAATCTTCTGCCAGCTCCAGGAACAAGCCAAATATAATTTCCTAATTTCCTTTTTTATTCCGGCAATGAAGTAGTTCTGACCATACACCACCATTCAACGAGTACTTACGGTTCCTCTTCTGCATGCGACAAATCGATCCAACGAATATCCCCCTAAATATTGATACTTGCTGACGAAAGCAGCCTCCTGCCCTACTTTGGATAAAAGCGGAAATATGGGAAGGTGAACTCACCGAAGCGACGAAACGAAACGGAATAAGCGCTGCACCCTCTCACGTATCCATCCTTGAAGGTCTTCCTTCCGTAATCAATACTGAGACAAATCCGGATACTCTCGCCTTCCTCTCACGTGTTTGTTGTACACCATATACAGGAAGCGTCGGGAACCACGGTCGCTGGTCTCGCCTCTCGCTTTCTCTCTGACGTATGGGAAGGAACTCCTCTTGTAACGACTGAAGGAAGAGGAGAGAGAGCAGATAACCGCACTTTCACTTTCCCTCTCGCTCTTCCCCTCGCCCTTCATTTATTTTTCTCTCTCTCCATCGAACTACGAACGATTATGTCGTCAGCCATCGGAGGGATAGAACGACACCTCCCATGCTACCAACCCTTAATATACGATTTTTTCGTGATTCATTTGTCTTGTGAAATCTTCGAAGAATTTGAACGCGTACACGTGCACCGAAGCACCCGATTCATTTTCGTCGGTTGTCAGGTAGCATAGTATTACGACGAGAGACTTCTGTGACTCAGCAGCCTCTCGGGAGATGATCGCTGGTCTCCCACTTCACGGTATGTTTCCACCACAAGCACACAAGAGCCTCTTCACGTTATCAGACGTGGTCAGAACCAATCGGGCTATGCATCGTGGTTACCGATGCATTTTACATTGCTAGCGATCGGCCATTATCAGACACTATAGTACCTTATAGGGTCGATTGATGAATGGAGGAAATGCCTCAGGTTTGCTTCTCCTCGAGATTTTGTAGCCCTGGGCTAAACTGATCCTCTGATGTCAGTTGATGAATCAAAGATCATGTTAGAACAAAGAAACCCAACCTTCGCGACCTAACAATCCTGCTCTTCACCCACCAATCCGCTGCGAATGCTCTCTCCGGTTTTGTACATCCTTGCATCAGGTCTCTTCTTGGTGGTGGTTCTTTTGGATCCTATGGATTGGCGGTGTAAGTGGCGTAGCGAGGGCGGGGGAGGGGCTGGGGGGCTGGGGGGGGGGGCTTCAGTCCCCCAAAGTTTGGTTCAAGCCCCCCCCACCCCGCGCA